GGATATACATCAGAAGGTATTTTAATAATAGGTGGGACTTTACAAGTCACATGAAGTAACATTATTGTTGTCAGTTCATTAATAAAGGACACAAAAAACTTTTTGTGCTCTCCATTAAAATCATATAGTTTTATTATTACACCGTATTGGAAAGACCACTTATTCTGCCTCTCATTGTGTCAGAGAAGGAGAAAATTTAAGTGATTTATTACCAACAGTTAGGTCCTTTGTGTTCCATGTGTAATAGAACAATTTCAATTCAGATGCTCAAAAATATTTAATTTAACACAGCAATAGGAATGTGTCTTTCAGCACCATTTAAATGCCATTTCCCTAGGCAACATCTTGGGAGTCTTTCACTTGAAAAATCAGGGAGTTCTTGGAAAGGAGACTGTACCCTGCTCTGGTTCAATTTTATTCAATGACAGCATGATTTAGTTAGGCAATAGGGCTGATACCTCTCTCTAGGTCTTAAAAAGTCTTGGTAAGATTGACCTTCACAGTTGCCTAATATAGCATCCCAGCCAAGCTACCTAAATATGAAGATGGTTCCACAGGTTTCTACCGGGTGACAGGGACTTCTTCTCAAGCATCAATGCTGTGACATGATGCTGAGACTTCCTTGTGGTCATCCTACTCTTCCACTATTGATTATCACTTAAATCCTTGTAAACGTCCAGGGCTCACTAATGAGGTGGTATGGATAAAATAGAGGTGTTCTTTTCTATTAAGTGATCTTCCTAAAAGTGATCTTCAAAAGCCACTGACATGGAAGTTGGGCATACATGGTGATAATAATGGGGAAATTTTATGCCAAAAAAATAAACAAACTTGTCAATGTTACTCAGTTGGAGTTCAGCATTTCCTAACAATATGTGTCAGGTCCTCTGTACGGACTAGTCACAGAGCTTTGATTTCACCTTTCTGTAAGGCAACACGGTTTATCTCAGAGGAGCAAGCACTTTGGAGCCAGAAAACCTGGCTTCTACTTTTGCCTCCTAGTAGCTGGGAAATCTGAGCCTTAATTTAATTTCCCTCAAAAATGGGCCAATACCTGGTTCTTGATGTTGTTACAAAGTTTATAAGAAATAAGGCATGGGGCCTTACAGATAGATGGAACTCAATCTATGGTATTCATCATTCAAAAAGAATTGATGAAGCATCTTTTACATGCCACCCCTGGGCTGCGGATATATAGATGAGTAAGCACACACCTTGCTCTGAAAGCACATGCGACTTGGTAGGAGACGCAGGCATGTAAATAAATCATGGTGATTCTGAGTCTGGGCTGCTATTATGGATATGTGGGAAAGATGGGATGGCAGCACATAGCAGTGTGTCAGCTGTGCAGGAGAGGTGGGGAGGCCTAATGTGGGATGCTTCACAGGACAGACATTTGACATATCTAGAAAAATAATAAGTATAAAGAAGTTGGTAGCCATTTGTGGGTAGGGTTTTTTAAGATGAAGAACATTCCGAGCACTTAGCTCTCCAATGTTGAAAGCCTTAAGCTCTTGCTGTGCTTCTCTCCCTTGGTTCTTTCTACTGCACTTCTCAGAATTCCATCCTGCTGGTCTCTCTGCCTGTGGAGGTGAAAGAGCCAGGCAGTGGTTACCTCTAATTACTTAGTCATGGTAACACTACAGTACCTGCAACCTGCTTGGTCCCAATAGGAAGATGTTTGGTGTTTTATAAAATGCCAGTTAGTATCACCATAAGGTAGCTCCTACCACCCACTGCAAGTATCTGCCCTGCAAGTGTGGCTCAGACATTACCATCTGGAATAATAAAACTTCACTTGCATCTGTAGGTCTTGACAGTATTTTCTCTTAGTTCACTGTATTTTTCTTAGTAGAGTGAAAGGGGACTTACATGTAAAAGGCTCTGTTTGTTATACATTTACGTGCTAAGAGAAACTGGCTGACTCTGCATGGGTAATATAAAAGGAGTCAAATTCTCTGAGCACTTCATGATGCTGGTTGCATTTAACTTAGGTGTCACTAGAACTGTAAAATGGTCATTACTGGAAAAAATAGAATAGAATAATAAAGTAATTAGTTATAAGGTTGTAATAAGTAAAAGGAGATTACTGAATATTTCTTTGTTTTAATTATGTGAGCTGAGCGAATGGTGAGGAAGCTATCAGTAAGTTCAGTTATTCATTGATCTTGGTTAGTAAGCATCATTGATCTCTACCCAAGAAGAACTGTCAGTACTTTCTAAACCAGTGGAAGATAAATGGTAAAGGAAAAGATCACATGGTTTGCACAAAAGAAATACAATTAGCAAATAAACATATAGAAAAAATAGTCATTCTTACTAATAAACAAAGAAATGCTCATTACAAATCTGAAGTATTTTGTACCTATTAAATTATCAGGTTTTTAAAAAATTGCAGTGTCAGTGCTTGTAAGATTATGGTGAAACTGGTACAGACATATATTTTTAGAGACAATAAAATGTTACAAAGCTTTTGGAAGGTAATTAATAACATAAATCAAGAACCTAATAAATATTTCCATTTTGGGAAATGCATCTGAAAAAGTTGTAGAATAAGAGAAAAGTAATTGATTTCAACATGTTCATTGTGACACTGTTTATAATGTGCAAACAATGGAAATAACCCAAATATCCACTTTTAAAAGGATGGTTAAATAAATTACATCTTCGTAGGAAGTAACATTACGTACATTAAATTAATAATTATGGAGATACTATGAGAAATGCTAAAATTATAATGTTAGGAAAAACACAGGATATGAAGTTCTATATGTTCTGTGTATACATAAAACGGTGTGAAACACATGTGGCCATATAGACAGTCAGTAGGATGGAGTGGAAAGCGTACACACTTGGCAACAAGACAGCCTTTAGTTTGAAATCTGACTCCACATTTGCAAGCCATTGATTTCTGACAAGCTAAGTTCTACGTGTTTTGTTTTCTTATATATAAAATGGGGATACTCGTATCAATCTTATAGGACTACTATGAGAATTAAATTAGATAACTGTAAAGGCAATGGAATTATGGGTGAATTTTTTTACTTTCTCTTATTTTTATTTCCATTAATTTTAAAATGTTTTGAAACAGAAACTATTTTTCAATTTGATATTCATTACAAAAGCTATACTACATGCAGAAATATATATCTTGTGTCAATGACTATATGACTATATTGACTATATGACACATGTATGAAATATATTCCTTGTGTCATTGACTGTATGGGTAACTGAAGTAATAAAAGTAATTATTCTTATTTAGTACTAAACATCTCAAAGTACACACTCTGCTAAATCATAATTTATGTATTTAATGAACACTTATATAGCTTTTACCATGTGATAGCCATTGTTCTAAACACTGTGTTTATTGAATCCTTATAACAACCCTATGAGGAAAGTACTATTACTATCTCAATCTCACACATAAGAAACTGACAAGCAGTAACTTATGCAAGGTCACACTGATGTGGTCAAGTCAGGATCTGAATTCAGGCAATCTGGCTACATGGTCCAAGTCCTGAAAGCTATGCTGCTTTTCAACAGGTCAACCAAAATATGTTCACTGAATATTTGTGGTGCTTGGCACTATGAGGGATACCAGGAAACAAAGGGCACAATCCTTAACTTGAAGAAGATCATTCTCTAGGCTTCAGCTGTGGTCTCAAAATTCTGATCCCTCAACCTTAGGCAAATGTCATCCATGTCATAACCAAATGCTATTCACAAAGAGACTTTCTCACTGTAATGACTAAGATTCTGAATGAAAATCTCTGTAGCCCACAGCTTGGCTCTCTGTGGTAGTGTCAATGTTTACACAGGATGGGCTGAGAAATCCTAGAGCTTTGCAAAAACATTTGCCTAGAGCCTAATGTTCTGCAAATGTTTAACGTAGGTTTCTCTTTATACATATAGGTATGTATACACACATTCACATACTACATGTATATGTAACTAATATTTCAACTGAAATATATTAAACTAATACTGCAAACTAAAATTACTTCAAATGCAGTTTTGCTGTTGGATTATTATTGTGCCTACATCGAATGAGAGATTCTTCTGCCATCTCTTTCTAATTGTCAGAAGAATACCGTGACATATTGTGAATAATGTCAGAAGAATATTCTGACATTGCCAGACAAATTCTTACAAATCTGAAAAATGATCATAACATTAAGAATAATGACTCTAGATGTCATTCCATTTCAAGCACAGGTATTTACCATGAGACTTTGAGCAAGTTTCTAAACCTCTCTGTGCCTCAATTTCCTGATCTGTTAAGTGGGTCATACCTCATAGATCTGTGAGAAATAAAAGACACAAAAATATAAAACACTTAGAAGAGTGACTTGAGCAATATAAGTACTCAATAAGTATTTGATATTATAATTTGTATTTTAACTTCTTATCTACAAAATCAGTCTTTTCTCGTTACACGCAATCAAAAGAAAATATGGAACTATATTAAATTCTAAGATTGATATGCAACGGGAAGTTCCACTTTTCAAGTTTTTGTGTTCGTCAAACTTGTGCAAGTATTGTGTGGCAAATTTGAACTAATAAGTAAATTTATACCAATTAAATACTATTCTGATTTACAGATTAGACTCTGCATAGAATTTTGTTCAAAAAAATTCTGCAGCTTAAAAAAATACATTGCATCATAAACGAATTTATGTTTTTATGCTCTATGTTATCTCATTCTAAGTGGGAAGAATTACCTTTTTAAAAAATGTTTATTTCTTTTCATGTCTACTTATTATTTAATGCTTACTTTTGAATAACACATGTTGAAATCAAATTATAAGGAAACATTAACTCCTTATCTGGTAAGAGTGTTGTATTTTGGTGGATGATTCTACTTATCACCAAAGATTTAATCTCTACTGTATTTCTTTTAAGATTGTTTTTTTCTTGACAATAGAAATGATTAGAATGTTCAAAGATATTTCAAATAAATGATCCGTTTTTGTTTTTTCTGTCTTTTCTTGCAGTCATTCCCAACACAGCACTGCAACCCGTCAGCCTTCAGTGACTCTCCAACGGGCCATCTCCCTGGAAGGGTAAGATAATAATACTGCGTCTCCTCTTAAACTATGCAGCCTTTGAGCATAAAGATAGTCCCTTCCTTCTTTCCTTCCTTCCTTCCTTTATATTTTCTCTCTCTTTGTTTTTTTCTTTTTCTTGCACCCACACCTCCCCACACACACACTTACACTTTCTTTCAATCAGCAAATATCTATGCAGCTCATGTTTTGTGCCAAGTACTGTTCTACATACTAGATTTAACAAGTCAAATTAGATCTCCTCTTACCCTTCAGAGGGCTCATTGTCTAGTGTAAATGACAAAAATTCAAACACATACTTGCAATACAGTGTAAGCATCACACTTTACCAGAGATATGCATAAGGGATTAATGAAGGATCCAGGAGGGGTCCCTGGCTGAGAATGGGCATCAAAGGGTTTGGGGAAATAGGTCAGAGGGGTTTCAGAGAAGATGTAATCCTCAAACTGAGAAGTGAAGCATCTGGGGATATTTGCCTGACAGTACAAATTCACATATATTCCTTCAAGGGAAGAGGAAAGTAATTAGCATTTATTGAGTGCTTAGTAGGTGCCAGGCTCTATCTCTTTATTTATCTCTCTTTCTATCTATCACCTATCTCTCCATCCATCTGTCTTATCTGATTTCATTCCTAAAATAGTCCTATGAGATGGCTATCTTTTTTTCTAAATATAGAGTTTTCAGAGAGGTTAAGTAATTTTCTCAATGTCATTTACATAGAAAGTAACAGCCTAGATTTGAAATTAAATCTGGCTCCATTCACTATATAGCTCTGTCCCTTATAATGTGGCATGAAGAGACTTTATTGAGCTGGAGAGCATTAGTAGCACCATTCATAAACTACATTCAGGCAAAGTTAGACATGGTGAAGAATTTCTTAAGGTAAAAAGTGATAAAGAACTATAATTGACTCTAATCTCTAAGAAATCAATAAATGCAATCAGTAACATACTGTTTTGGATGGTTCTGGAGACCCATGTGCATGCTAATGACTGAGGTGTACTTTGTGGTAGAGGTGAGAATGCAGGGACTAATCTTACCACTCGTCTCTACCTCATCTTGTTTCTTATAAAGACCTCTCTTGGCATGGCTCAGGGTGGCTATTGTTCCACATTTTGGTCATTAACACAAAGGAGATTTTCTTCAGTTATGGTAAATAATGGCATTTCCTTCTAAATCTATTTCCAAACCTTTTGTTTCTTATTATTAACAAAAGCCTATTAGTAGTTTGCTAGTAAGGAATTTTTTTTCTTTCTTTTTTTGCATTTTCACTTGAGTTAAGTGAACTTTGTGATAAACATAATTACTGATTCTAGTTCTCTGATAAGATGAAGCCAAAAATATAAAGACCTTACCCTAACTTCAAAACACAAGAGTGGCTCCTTTTCTGAAAACAACAAGCTATATGACCAGCCTCATAGTGCCGCATTGTTCCAACTGATATAAAGTAGTTTGCCTTATTCTAGTGAATAATACAATATAAGAAATATTATGTTCCCTGCGGTAGTGGAAGACAACTGACTTTGGAATCAAAGAACAAGTCTGAATCTGGGCCTCTGCCATCTGTTGCTATTGCTCTTAAACAAGGCCCTTCCCCTTCTAAGCATGAGTTTCCTTGACAGCCAAAGGGGAGAATACTATAGAACTCATCAACTTTTTATAAAAGTAGCAGGTACTTATTAGACCCTCCATACATATTAGTTGAATATATACTTAGCCTAAGTGTCCTGAAAAAAGAAAGAAAACTTTAATTTTTATAGCCTAGATTAGTTTGAACTTCTCTTAAATACATATATATGTATTATGTAAAACATTTCTAAATATAAAATAAAACATTTGAGGTAGAAATAATTTTGCATTGCTTGAATATTTAGAAGAGGAAATCTCAGTAATTCTGTACAAAGCCCAGAACACTAAAGTTCATGCTATATCTGCCCAGCTGGCCTCCAGATTAAGAGAAAATGTAGCAGATAAACACTGTCATTGAACACATAGTGGGAAAGTTATTTTTCATCTTACATAGACCAATGGGTGTTTAGTAGATTTCCCATTAAGGTTTTATACTGCTTTGTATAGGCAATCAGCTGAAATTATTTCAAAACTCTTATTCCTAATGCATTTGTGAAAAGCAACAACACAGAATATTTTTATAATGGATGTAGTTTAAAAGGCCATACATCTGTATAATTTTCACTGAAGTTGCTGTTTACTTGACATAAAATAAGTGGAGATATTTCAGATTTCCAGTTAATTTGATCCACGGAGACAACAAAACTGTCTAATTGAGCTCTCTACCATTGAGTCACTGCTGTTTTTAAATTGATATCTGAATCATCTATAACTATGCCAGACAAAATGAGGCAGAATAACATCCCCATTAATACTGTGAGCTCTGTGCTTCAGGTTCAAGTTGACAGACACAGCCCACACCTTAATTTCCTCTTCTTCTTGAGACTCTATTAAAAGAAAGCTAATAGAATTAAAAAAGGACAATCCCATAGTAATAAAGAAAATGGAAGGAGCTATTAAAGGTCAAAAGATTTCATCACATTTCTGGACAACAAAATGCCAATGGAGCGGTATTGATTATTTAAGCAGAACAAAGTAGTCCCAGCCTTAGATCACCAATGGAGGCAGGACCATATGCTGTTCCACTCCAAGGCCACCTTTTACATCATATTCCATGTGAGTGGCATTCTGTGGTGTTGTGTTTCCAGGGATGCCACCCACGAAAAGCTCTACCACAGTGCAGTAACAGATCTGCCTGGCAGAACCCAGGAAACTCAGAGACTTCAGGGTAGAGACAACAGATGGGACTGACAGCAGAGGCTGAGAATAGGGATGAAGATGCCCCCACTCAGTACACACACCCCTGCACACAACACATCACCAAGCAAGTACTTACCACAAGTCTACAAAAGAAGGTTCCTCTCTGAAGAAATGGAATCACTCTTATAGGGAACTTAGATAGCTAGTTTTAGTGTTATGTCCCCCACAGCAATGTCCTTCACAGTGTGCCAGTTTGGGGGACACTTTCAGATTTGGTCACCTGAAGAAATGGAATCACTCTTATAGGGAACTTAGATAGCTAGTTTTAGTGTTGGCCCCCACAGCAATGTCCTTCACAGTGTGCCAGTTTGGGGGACACTTTCAGATTTGGTCACCTAAGCTGAAACCTTTCAGTTAAAAAGCCTTGCCTTTATACACAACACCCCCTGCCAGCCTTTCTACTACTTCCTTCTTAAATATGGACGGACAGCCACAAGCATGTAACAAGACCTGCAAAACGACAGAGTCAAGATTAAAATACACATGCACAGAGAAAAACTGTCCTCAAGAAAACAGAGGTATCTCTGGGAACAAAATAGAATGTAAAGAAATACTCCATATACACACATTTTTTAGCAATGTGGAGGTAACTGCTAGAATTAAAACTAAAATGGTTGGAAGGGATTGCCCCTGGGAGGAAAACAGAGGTATCTCTGGGAACAAAATAGAATGTAAAGAAATACTCCATATACACACATTTTTAAGCAATGTGGAGGTAACTGCTAGAATTAAAACTAAAATGGTTGGAAGGGATTGCCCCTGGGAAGTCTCAGGGGAGGAAATACAAATTAAATTTTGAGGAATGTGTTTGAAGCAAGACTAAGGTGAAAAAAAAAAGAAGAAAAGAAAAGAAAATCATGTGCAGAAATTTGGAAGTACTTTGCTAACACTGTTGAGACTAGGAAGTATCTTCAGCTACTCCAAAAGCTTTCTATTACCCGGTGGAGAGCACTTTGTTTTACACTACCTTACAAGGTCATTTTAGAGGCATACTGAAAGGCAGAATTTTCTAGTAACTAGCATTTTCACATCAGTAAAACAGCTGCCCTGGAAGGTGCTGACCACCCTTTACAAGTAGCACTTAACAGTAAACTAGATAGCCATCTTCAGGGATATTACAGAAGGAGTTTTTATGGAGTAAATGATTGGTCTAATTGACCTCTACCAAAAATCTCTCCCAAATCCAGAAGTCTATGAGTATCCAAAAGAAAACCAAAAAGGAGTCTTGCCTATAAACAGATACATCAAAGGATACCCACCCTCTCAGGTAACAGGTCTGGGGTGATATCGCTATCTTGTTTTCTCAGCAGGACAAGCCTAATTCAATAGAGACAAACAGGTTTCGCTGTTTGGAACAAGAGACACCCTCCCCATACTCTAAGACCACTCCACGCTCTTGATACCACCTTTGGGGCCGGGGGACCGTGGTGTCCCCATGCTGGGTTTGAGCAGGGATCCTTTTCCAAGGAGCAATCTGGAAGCAAACCTGAAATGTAATGATTCCTTCTCTTGTTCTCTTTCCAACTCCTTTGCCTGGATGGAAGAAGCTTATTTACAGTAAGCATACTTCAGATTTTCCAGTATGATGATATGTTAAAGGACTGTCTTCTTAATCCAGGTGTACAAATATTTGGTTTCAAAATGTATGGTCACTGTAGAAAGTGACCTGAGAATCAGAGGTCATCACTGAATCAGGACCTAGAACTCAGGTCTGTGGCTTCATACTGTGAGATTTTGAGCAACTCTCAGTCACCTCATATACAAAGTGATGAAGTTGAGTTGAATAAACAATGTCTCAGATACCTGCCAACTGTTGTATCCAACTGTAACATTTTGGATACAAAAGTTTGGCTTCCAGACTTCTAGGAGCCTGTATATGAGGCATAAACTTTCAAGGGACCATTGGATTCTAGATAACTAACTCTTTCCGGCAGTTAACTTGAGTTTTCTCACATATCCATATGTCCTTCAGGATTTGTGATCAGCCTGAATGTTCAACTTCCTTCAACACACTCCTGTACCCTGACCCTCAAAAGCAGAGCTAAGTGGTGTCTGAGGGGCTCTGTTGTGCTGATTAATATACCAAATTACAGAGGTGCCTGTCAAACTTCAAAGAGAAACTTCATTCAGGTTGTTAGTTGCTTGGGTCACTGGTCAAAAATCTGAGC